ACTGAGAACCCCTCAGGGCACAGTTCTGTGCAGGCACGCCAGGGGTACTGTGAGACAGGGCCCTTGTGATGGGAACTGATTGTGTTTGGAGGGGAAGGGGAACCAGGCTTCATGGGGGTGTCGCCTGACCCTGTGCTCCCGGGCCCACCTTGGCCCTCCAGCCACAGCTGGTGCCACTGGGCCACTGCCGCTGTGGCTGAGCATAGCATTTCCCCTCACGGCGCATGGGGCCCGGCCTGGCTCTGACCTTGGGGTCCCAGTCCTGTGCAGTCAACTGCCATAGAACCGCTGTGGTCTTGGGTTCTGTGGTGGGCTGGTGGGCAGCATCGGCTTCCCAGAAGAGGATCTAGGCCTGGCCCACCCGCATGACACCTCCAGCAGACCAGGGCCCCAGGGCTTCCTTGTCTGTTCCCCTGGCCAAGTGATGTGCCCCCAGGGCCTGGTTCCAGGCCCCTGGTGCCACCCTTTCTGTGGAAATGCTAGGGGCTATGTCTTCAACAGCCTGCCCTTTATTCCCTCAGGACAACAGGTTGTTTGTGCCACCAACAATGCCACGTTCATCACTGGCCACCCCTCGACCGAGGCAGCAGGTGCCCAGGCCGCTGAGAGGCCCAGTCTTCCCGCTGCTGTTGCCTGTTGCCTTCTCCTGCTCCAGCCCCTCCTGTCCTCTCTGGATGACTCTGGCCTGAGGATTGGGCCCTCCAGGCTGAATGTTCCCAACTAGTGCAGTGAGGATAATGACATTAAATAATTTGTTCCCAAACGGAACCTGAGTTGCTGAGAGCACAGGACACACAAGTCTGGGCTGACCCGGCCAGTGAGCTTCTTGTGGCCAGACTGAGGTGACCTCGAGCAGTGACCCTGAAGCTGTGCAGATGGGACAGCGCTGGGGAGGGGGCATCCAGGGCTGCAGAACAGGCCCAGAGGAACCTTCCTGAAAACTGACGGAGCTCAGCAAACTCCCCAGCCTGGGCTGGCTTCCTGAGGTGCAGTGAGAAGGGGAGGGGAAAGGTCACAGCGTGGGGGTGGCACTGCCAGTCAGTGATGCAGCCAGCGTGGGCGTCCTTGGCATGACCTCAGGATTCCACCAAAGGATGTGGGCTGAGACCCTGAGCTGATGCTTGAGGGCACGTGGGACAGGCAGTGAGCTAGGAAAGTTCAAGACCCAGAGTGGGCATGAGTTCTAATTCTGCCTGCACCGTTTCCCAGTTGGGGGCCCTTGGGCAGCCCTGCTTGTTGGGGCTACACCTGCAGGTATGTGCAGGGTCAGACAAACCTCTGCTCCCCACTCACTGTGTGCATGGGGTTCTGCATCCCCCGGCCTAAGCCTCAGTTTCCTGATCTCGAAAACGGGTGTGTGATGCTTGCAGGAGGTAATATATGTCAGGTGCTTTCTCAGCCCAGACTCAGATATTCTTGTTATTGTTAGCATGTAAGCCTTCACCTTAGGGAAGTACTGGGCCCATGGGGGTCTCACCTGCCCCTTCCTCAACTTGAGGTGACCTGGGCAGCTTCCAGGGGAGGGAGATCCTGAATAGTGGTGGACACTAGCCTGGGAGGCCCTGTTAGCCTCTTAGGCATTTGTTCAATACCCATCAATCAGCTGCCGGCTGTGTGCCAGTTCCCGGGGAGACCAGGCCCCTGAGGTCCTTCCCAGAGGAGTGGAGAGAAAGGACCAACAGTAAGCAAATGAGAAAGATGTGGAGTGTGTATGGACAGCAGAAGCAGAGACAGCTCCAGAAGTGGGTGGGAGTATGGAGGGGTTAGGATTTGAAATAAGAGAGCTAGTGTCTGAAGGACCGTGTGAGGAGATGCAGAAGGTTAGATGGCTCTGCTGGGGACCCAGCGAGGAAGGCTGCAAGGCCAGTAAGGAGGAGAGAAGGGCAGGGAGGGTTGGGGGCCCTTGGATTTCCTTGGGGAGGTTCCTCCTGGAGGGCGCTGGGCAGGGGACAGACTGCCCTGATGCAGGTGCTCACCGGTGCCCTCTCGTGGCCATGAGGAGTATTGCTGTGATGGTGCAAGTGGTCACCCTGCTGACCTGCAAACCAAAAGGTTGGAGGTTCAGGTGCCCACAGGGGTGCCTTCAAAGAGAGGCTTGGTGGTCTTCTTTCAGAAAGCCAACAGACTCACCATGTGGTGTGGAGAAGCCACCAATTACCCGAGCTGCTCACAAAACTAGGGAGAAACCCTAGCTCTTCCTTCAGTATTTTGCCCAGTGAGTCTCTAGAACTTTTTTAGGACCCCATCCCCGGTGTTGTGACTTCCAGGGAGGCCCTAGTGGCCTGGAGGCTTGAGGGACCGATACCTGTCCTTTGTGTGGGCATCTCCCTCCCAGAACCCTTGGCAGGAGGGAGGTCTACCTGAGGTCAGACAGCAGCTCCTGGAGGATTCTGCCCACAGTCCCTCTGCTCCATCTACGCCCCCCTTTGAGCAGCGTGTGGAGGCTGCCCCCCAGCAGGTGGGGGAAGGGGTGCCACACGGGAGCAGACACTCAGCGTGAACGGTACACGTGAATGCAGACCGCTGACTCACAGGGCTTGGGCGGCCAGCTCTGTCCACCGACCACATCTCCTGTCCTGGGGAACAGCTCGTGCTCAATAAAAGGGCACTGTTGTTGCTGAGGAAAATGTGGGGCAAAACTCGAAATCATAAAGACGGGTTGCTTATCTCATAAAGACTGGGGGCACCCCCAAAACTGTGACCCTTTGTTGTCTTTTGAGGCTGGAACTCAGCTCACGCCCTCGGCTCACCTTCCATCCAAGCAACAGACAGGCCTGTAGGTGAATGGTGAGGGTAGCACAGGACAGGGCAGGGCTCAGGTCGTTCACAGGGTCACTGGACTCGTGGTTGACCCAGCAGCACCTCACAGCGACAACAGCAGAACAGTGGCTGCAGGGGCGTTCAGTCCCCAGAGCCAGCGAGTGCTCAGGACCAGCAGGACTGCATTTGCCCAGGGAGAACGCTCAGAAGTCAGCAAGGGGCAGGATGGTGGATGCGTGGAAAGGAGAGTCAAAGGGAGGGAGTGGGAAGATTCCGTTAAACCGTGGATACTGTGGCTTCGGTCATAAGACAGTACGTGTATGAATGGAAAACTTCTGTCATGTAACTTTCTACTCAAATCATAGTAAAAAAGGTACAGCAAAACATTACCAATTTTAGCAATTTTTATATGTACAGTCCAGTGACACTGATTGTATTCTTTAGATTGTACAATTAATTAATTGGTTTAAAGAAGGCTTCAGGGAATATTTGTGTGTGTGTGTGTGTGTGTGTGTGTGTGTGTGTGTACACACCCCGTCAAGTTGGATCCGACTGGCACAGAAGGAGACTGCCCCTCCTTCTCCAGTGGAGCATTTGGTGGACAGGGAATATATTTTATTTAGAGTTTAAGATTATCTTAGAAAAAAAAAAAAGATTATCTTAGGATAACAGGCTCAGGGGGTTCATCCAAATAGCAATAACTCTAGAAGGTCTAGATTCCATGAAAACATGGACTTATGTTCCACATTTACCCTCTTTGAATCAGGATTTATCTGTAGAACCTTTGATCCAAACATTCGGTAACCGTAACTGGATATCCTCCTGTTTGCCAGTGGAGTTTTGCTGGTAGCAGCTGCTTGGCCTCCCTGGGCTTGCTCTGTAGAAAACTGAGCCGAGGGTAGGGAGTGAGAGTTTATGTGTGTATGTTGCTGGATGCCATCGATTTGGAAGCGACCCAGAGCTGACCCTCCAGCGGGTTTTCAGAGGCAGTTAATCACATGGGAGGAGACTGCTCTTCCTTTTCCCAAGGGGCAGCTGATGGATTCGAACTGCGTGCCTTTGGGATTGCAGCACAGTTTACCCCTAGGCCACCAGAGTTCCCCCTGTGCGTGCATGTGTGTTAGGTGCTGTCAAGTCGAGTATGACTCAGCAACCCTATGAACAGGCCATCCGAACCCATGCCATCCTCACCGTCTCTGACACACTCAAGCCCATTGCTGCAGTCACCATGTCAACCCGCCTGGTCAGGGGTCTTTCTGTCTTTTGTCACAACTCCACCTTCCCAAGCATGATGTCCTCTCCAAGGAATAGCCTCTCCTGGCATCGTGCTGAAAGTGTGTGAGACGAAGCTTCATCATCTGCCTCCAAGGAGCACTCCAAGGCTGCACATTCTCCAAGACCTATCTGTCTGCTCTCTTGGCAGTCCTTGGACTCTTCAGCCCTTTTCTCCAACAGCTCAAGGGCTTCACTTCTGTCATCCTAAAAGGAGGGGGGTATTGGCTGCTCACTTCCCCTCCCTTAAACCTCCAGAGACAGACCCGTATGGGAGAGGATGTGGTGGAACAGCGACCCTTCCCACTTCCGTTTCTGAGAACTGCCATGGCAGATACACCACAAATTAATGAGTAGAAGACAGACTTTATATTCTGTCAGCTCTGGCTCGAAAAGTCCACTTTAGAGTCTCGGCCATGCCCAGCCTATGTGAGCTGTGCTCTGACTTGCTGACGTCTGCGGACGACCCCCAGTGTCTGGGCTCCCTTGGCCGCCTCAGCTGGAGGACGGGGCCTCAGTGTCCATCTCCCACCCTGTCTCGGTCCCTGCCTGTCAGCTGGAGGTGTTGCTGAGCTCCGTGTGTGCACAGTGCCACTGCCGGCTCCTGTGAGTGTCACCCATTCCACTCGTGCAGCCCTGAGAGGTTAAGTGACCTGTCCGAGGCTGCACAGATGAGCTCCCTGACCTCTGCCCGGAAGCCTGGGCCACTGGGCTGCAGGGAGAGTTCATGAAGGACCAAGGACAGGCAGGGACAGTCTGCTGTCTTAGGCTGTATTTCCGGAGACCTGAGCCTCCCTTTGCTTCTGCACCATACCTAGTGTCTGCAGACAAGGGGTTCCCTGAAGCTCAGGCTTCCCCATTACTACAGCAGGCTGGGTGTGCTGCACGCGCCCGGGGAGCTGCCTTGAGGAGCCTGGGGGTGGACGCCTGTCACAGCTCACACATGTCCCCCTCTGCCCTCCCCACAGTGGTGCTCATTGGGGACTCGGGTGTGGGGAAGAGCAATCTGCTATCCCGCTTCACCCGCAACGAGTTCAACCTGGAGAGCAAGAGCACCATCGGCGTGGAGTTCGCCACCCGCAGCATCCAGGTGGACGGCAAGACCATCAAGGCGCAGATCTGGGACACTGCCGGCCAGGAGCGTTACCGCGCCATCACCTCCGCGTGAGTGACAGCAGGACTGTGAACAAGGTGGCTGGGGAGGGGAAGGGAGGGTGACCACCTTCAGTGCAACTGCCGGTGCGCTACTGTGCTATCACCTTCGCGTGAGTGCCGGCAGACTAAATAAGGTGGCTGGGGAGGGGAAGGGAGGTGACCACCTTCAGTGCAGTGGCCCGGAGCGCTACTGCATCATCACCTCTGTGTAAGTGCCAGCAGGATGAGAGGTATTTGGGTAGGAGAGGGCAGCGCTGGACACGATCTTCTCGTGTAACAGGCTGGCAGGCCGGACTGTAAATAAGGTGGCCAGGGAGAGGAGAGTGACCCTGGACACCACCTTCTAGTGCAGTGGGTCACCAGCAGGAGGGGAGGTGGCCAGGGAGGGAAGGGTGGCCCAGGACACCACCCTTAGTGCAGCAGACCGGCAGGCAGGACTGCAAATGAAGTAGCGGGGAGGGGAGGGGAGTGCAGCCCTGGACGGCAGCCTTTAGTGCAGAGCCACACAGCCTGCCAATGACCTGGCACTCAGCTTTGCCAGCGTGGTGTCCCCACGGCCCCTGTGAGCCCCAGGGTTCTTCTCAGAGACACTGCCAGTAACACTGGGTGCCAAGTACACAATGAGCACCCCCTGTTAGTTTTGATGCCAGCTTGCTGATATTGTCCAGACTCCCCAGATTCAGGCCCCACTCTGCGTGAGGCACCCTGGCTGGGGTACCACCCCCACACCTAGCGCACCCTCACTTCTCAGCAGCTGGCTCCAAATCTCGAGGTTCTGTCCCTCTGTGACTCACTAGGACAGCTCCCAGGAAACAGGAAGGCGCTGTTGTTGTGTTGTTAGGTTCCATCGAGTCAAGTGCAACCCATTCAAAACTATGAACAACAGACATGAAGCCTGTCCTACCCTGCGCCATCCTCACAATCTCTGACACTCATTGCTGCACTGTGTCAATCCGCCAGGTCGAGGGTCTTCCTCTCCTTCACCTTCCCTCCATCTTTCCAAGCTTGATATCCTTCCCAAGGAATAGCCCCTTCTAGCAACATGCCCACAGTATGTGACATGAAGCCTCACCATCCTTGCCTCCAAGGAGCAGTCCGTTGCACCTTCTCCAAGATACAGGTTGGTTTTATTGGCAGTCCAAAGGCTATTCAGTACTCTTCTCCAGCACTACAGTTAAGAGGCTGATCAGCTCTGCCGTCATCCGTCTTCATTATCCAGCTCTCAGCAGCCAAGCAAGTGATTGAAAAGACCATTGCAAGGGAGCACTGGTGGCCTAGTGGCAAGAAGCTGCACTGTAATCCCAGAGGTATGAAGTTCAAATCCACCAGATGCTCTGCTGGAGAAGGAAGGGCAATCTCCTCCTGTACCAATCAGATCCTATTTGACGGTACACGCACAAAATAATAACATAAAAAAAACAAAGACCACTGCATGAGTCAGGCATACCCTAGTCCTCAAACTAATGTCACTGCTCCTCAATAATTTGGAGATATCCCTGAATGCAGACTTTCCCAGTGTAATGTTGTTGTTGTTGTTGTTGTTAAGTGCCGTCCGAGTAGCAGGCGACACATAATGACCCTATGAAGGAGAGTCCTTGACGCTTGTGTGCCTTTCATCCTCTTTCCAGGTTCATAGGTCCCAGTGTAATACGTCTCCCGATTTCCTGAGTGCCGATGGCAAGTGGACTGATTGGAAGTCGTTGACAGGAGGGCACTGGAGTTACTGATGTAGTCTATACAGCAGAAGGATACACAACAGAGCAGCCAAGGGGAGAGATGCAGGCTCTGGGGTCTGGACGGGCCTTAAATGGGGGGCTTCATGTCCCCTGCCATGCAGTCACCCCCTGACACATCACTGTGACAACAGGCAGAGTATTGTCAACCAGGACAGCTCACCGGAGCTTCCGTGTGGAGTTTTTACTGGGGCTTCCTTCCATTGTTGTTGTTAGGTGCCCCCAAGTCAGCTCTGACCCCCAGCAACGCTATGAACACAGACCAACTTGCCCTCGTCTGCACCCCTCCCACGATCGCCACTGCTCGAGCCCACTGCTGCCGTTACTGCGGTGCGCTGTCTCATAGTTCAGGGTCTTCCACTCCGTTACTGCCCCTCTGCTGTCCCACGCACGGTGTCCTGGCCCCCCCACAACACGCACAAAGTATACAAGACGACGTTTCCACATCCTCCCCTCCGGGGGGGCACCCTGGGTGCACGTCCTCCAAGACAGATCTGTTTGTTTTGTTTGTTTGTTTCCCTTTCTTGTTGTGTACCATTGAATCACATCTGACTGGCACAGAAGGAGATTGCCCCGCCTTCTCCAGCAGAGCATCTGATGGATTCAAACCCTGCGCCTTCGGGGATTGCAGTGCAGCGCTGTTTGTTGTTTTGGGAGTTCATGGTGTGTGTACTCACTACTCTCCCCACATTTCAGAGGCATCTTCGTGATGGGGGCGGGGTGTCAGTAGTCTTGGCCATGTGATCTGAAACTCAGTTGCCAGCCTTCTCCCTAGAGGTCAGCCTGACCTCCAGGTGTCCCCACAGCTCCAGTTTTCTGATCATAAGGTGGATTTCGTTGCCATTGCTAGCTCCTTCCTGAATTATTTCTTTAATATAATCCTTGGGGGTACCCACCCGAATAACGAGGACACTCTAATTCTGAGAGTCTCAAGGCCATGGTCACCGAGATACACATTTTTTGTTTAACAGTGGTGAATATATGTAACAAAACATTTGCGACTCAACATTGCCTCCCCTCTTTCTTTTTCCTAATCTTATTTTTGTTGCAAATACGTCCAGCAGAACATTCAGCACTCACCAGTGTCTGCATGACAGCATTCTTGAAGTCGTGCTGCCATTCTCGCCCCCCTCTTCAGGCTTGTCCCTCCCCCATGAACATTAACTCACTGCCCCCCTAAGCTTCCTGTGTAACCTCTTTTACAGTTTCTGTTGTACCTTTGATCCCATCAAGATGGTTTCTAAAAGCACAATGTGCAAGTTAGACATTCTTCTCCTTTTTTTCAATTTTATTATTTTGTGTGTGTACCGTCAAATCAGATCTGACTGGTACAGGAGGAGATGATCCCTCCTTCTCCAGCAGAGCATCTGGTGGATTTGAACCACGCACCTCAGGGATTGCAGTGCAGCTTCTGGCTGCTAGGACACCAGAGCTTGCCAAGTCAGACATTCTTAAGCTAAGTGACTGCTCTCACGTACCTTGGGCGTGTCGCTTGGAGGGGCCAGTATTTGGGAAAAGACATCCTGGTTGGGACAATAGAGGTCACCAAAGGGGCGGATGAACATGGTGACTGCAGCACCGCAGTTTCAAGGATGGCACAGGCTAGGCAAGGTTTTCATCTGTTTTGCATAGGGTTACTATGAGTCAGACTCTGTTTGGCAGCATCTGACAACATTATTAGGGAGCTCTGGTGGTAAGGAGCTGGACTGTCAACCCCAAGGCACATGGTTCAAATCCACCAGCTGCTCCACAGGAGAAAGCTGGGTAGTCTCCTCCTGTGCAATTTACTGCCTTTGAAAACTCACTGGAGGGTCAGCTGAGTCCATTCTGACTCAGCAGCACACAACAACAACATTATCTGGTCTTAAGAAGACTTTAGGGGGTATTTTAGTTTTAAATATTACCTAAGGGCAATAGTTTTGTTCATCCAGCTTTATATTTCCAGAAAGTCCAAGTTCTATAAAACTTAAAATTATGTTCTACATTTCCCCCCTTTTGGTCAGGATTCTTCTACCATTATATTTCACCTTGTGTAATTTGTAATAGTAATTGTATTCATCATGTTGTGAAGTCGTCACTGCTATCAGTTTGAAATTATTCTACCATTAACAACCGCCTAGTGGCTCCTTCTCCCTCCTCCCACCCTCAATTCCTAGTAACCACTAAAAATGTTAGTCTCTATGCGCTTGTCTAGATATTTCATTTAAGTGGGGTCATATATTTATTTGTCCTTTTGTGACTAATTTATTTCATCCAGCATACTGTTTTTGTTTTTTTTAATGATTTTTTTTTTATTATATTATTTTTACGTGTACTGTCAAATCAGATCTGACTGGTACAGGAGGAGATTGCCCCTCCTTCTCCAGCAGAGCATCTGGTGGATTTGAACCACGTACCTCTGGGATTGCAGTGCAGCGTCTTGCCACTAGGCCACCAGATCTCTCTCAAGCATACTGTTTTTAAGGTTCCTCTTGTGTTGTATCATGTATTAGAACTTAGACTCTCTTTATGACCACGTACTATCCCATTGATATATGTAGATACGTTTTGTTTATTCCTCTGTTGGTGGGACATTGAGGCTGTCAGTCCCTTTGTGGTGGCCTGGTGAACGTGTGTCTGTTTTCATTCCTGCTTTCCGATCTTTTGAGCAGAGACTGGCCAGGGGAATTGCTAGGTGGTCATCTAGTCGGTCTGTGTTTTAAATTTGTGAGGAGATGCCAAACTGGTGTCCAGAGCAGCTGCACCACCCGACATTCCCCAGCAGTGGATGCGGGTTCCTGCTTGCCCACCAGCTCCCCGACCCCGGCTCTTTTCCGCCTCAGCCCGGCTGGTGGGTGTGAAGGGGGTGGCGTGCTTTTCGCTTGCATCTTCCCAGTGACAGGTGGTGTGGAGCCTCATCTCCTTGCCTGTGCAGAGAAGTTCTCTGCCAGGTTCCCTCCATCCAGGTTCTCTGCTGCCTTGAGCCGTCACCCCGGACCTGCCTGGGCCGCTCTGCCCACTGCCTGCCCGTGTCTCTCAGCTGCCCTTGGGGTTTCTTCCCGTTCTGGCTCACAGCTGTCCCTGTCCTGTGTCTTCCCTGTTGGCCTCCACACCCTGGTCACCTGCCCCCTGGTAGAGCCACCCTCTTCCCTCTAGATCTCTCTCACAGGGGCCTGAGGCTGCACCGCCCACCTCCTCTGCCCCTCATGGCTGCCCAGGAACTCCCACCCTACAGATTTTCCTCGAGACCTCTCAGTCCCTGTCATGCCCGCGGCTGTCTTCCACATTCCTTCCCTGAGCCCCATGGTCCTGAGCCAAATCTAGAGAGGAGAAACAGGACTTCAGGACCTGGATGTCACAGATGTCCCTCAGAACCATCCCAGGGTCCTCAGCTGGGCCCAGGAGCCCCTGGCTCCCCCAGTTCCTGTGTGGCCTCCACGAGAGGCCTGCTGACTTCCTGGGTCCCCGTCCCACAGGTACTACCGCGGTGCCGTGGGTGCCCTGCTGGTGTACGACATCGCCAAGCACCTGACCTATGAGAACGTGGAGCGCTGGCTGAAGGAGCTGCGGGACCACGCGGACAGCAACATCGTCATCATGCTGGTGGGCAACAAGAGTGACCTGCGCCACCTGCGGGCTGTGCCCACGGACGAGGCCCGCGCCTTCGCAGGTGAGGATGCCCTCCGAGGCCGCTTGGCCCACTCTGGCCCCACACTCCTGACACGCTTCGAAAAGGCGGTTCGTGGGGTGCTGGCCTCTCCTTGTGTTCCTGTGCCCATGGAGCCGGCCCCTCTCCCTGAGGAGGGCTCTCCAGTCCTGACTTCCCCAGTGTCGCCCTGTGTCCTGAGCCCGGTTCAGTGGGAGAGCGGGCCGGGGCTCACCCTGGCTGTGTCTCTGTTCCAGAAAAGAACAACCTGTCCTTCATTGAGACCTCAGCCTTGGATTCCACCAACGTCGAGGAAGCCTTCAAGAACATCCTTACAGGTGAGCCCAGGCCCTGCGGACAGAAACACCAGTGGGCACACCAGAGGGGAGCTGGGGCACAGACCCCACAGATGTGTCCCGGGGATTGGGGGCACAGGCTGTGCGGGGTGAATACACAGACCCCACAGCTGTGTCCGGGGGAAACGGGGCACAGACACCAGGGAGGCCCTATCAAGAGGGAGTGGGGGAAATGCACAGAGCTCACAGTTTCACCTGGGGAGGCGTGAGGGGCCTGGAGCTCACAGCTGCACCCCAAGGGACACGAGGCACAGAAGACGGCCCCTGGCCCTTTATTTGTTCGCCTGCTGGTCAGTTTGGACATAGGTCGTAGGATCTCCGTGCGGTAGGCTGGATCCTGCCCCTGCCATTGTGGGGAGTGCAGACAGCCCTGGGTCGGCTCCACAGCCCTGCCAGGGGCCCATCCAGGAATGGCACACAGCTGAAGACACACTTCCAGAAGTTAAAGCCGCCTTGGCTGGCTGAGGAGGAGGGTGTGCCCTCACATACCAGGGTCCTCGAGGACAGGGCCCACAGTGGAGGGAGGCCGGCTGGTGACAAGCAGAGCCTAGCATGTCCTGCCCCTGTCCCCCTGTGACATGACTTGGTGTGCGGGGCCACAGTGGGGGCTGTGGGAGGGGAGCAGGGTCCATCAGCAGCCTGCCTCACCCTGCCCTCCCCACGCCCGCAGAGATCTACCGCATCGTGTCCCAGAAGCAGATTGCTGACCGCGCAGCCCATGACGAGTCCCCCGGCAACAATGTGGTGGACATTAGCGTGCCGCCCACCACGGACGGACAGAAGCCCAACAAGCTGCAGTGCTGCCAGAACCTGTGACCCCGGGCCTGAACCTGCGCGCGCGTGCGCGTCCTCGTCCTCCCGACCCCCTGCACTGTCCTCCCCGCCC